GGCTTCGGGTCGTCAGAAGGCTTCAGGTCGTCAGAAGGCTTCAGGTCTTCAAGGCTTCAGGTCGTCAGCAGGGCTTCAAGGCTTCATGTCTTCAGAGGAAGGTCACCCGCGATTGCCAACACACTGTATTTATCTTTGCACCCTTCGTTTGTGTTTGTATGAAGCCCACGGAGGTCCTTTCCAAAAACGATCCCTGCGTGGCTTGCACCGGTGAGGTATCTTAGCACACGTGGACCATGGGAAGACGACTTGTGCCTGGGGCTTGAAACGTAGAGGCAAAGTCACAAAGAAACAGGACGCGGGATAGGTAGATTTCACTGGAATTCACTTACCCAAGTGGCTAATGTCTACGTAAAACCTACCTAAGTGGCGATTCACATACCTAGGCTTGTAGGATCTTATAGGTACCAATGTCAGCCACGCTGAAACCTGGACGATACAAGCATGGGTGTGACCAACTGGGGACTATATACTGATCAGATAAAAGAATCGGATTGACACAACCATCTCTAGCTACATATTGGAAGTTCTCCAGCCAAGTGGTTTTGACACTATCAGTTGAATGTGTTTGTTACGCGACAGTTTTCGGGCCAGTTGGCTTCTATGTTCGAATAAGTTTCAGCTAAGACTGGCTTTCATTTTGGTGTCGATTCTCTTCGAGCAAGTGGTTTTGCAGTCGGATTTGAAACTGTTCTTGCGAACCTGGCATTGGATGAACCAGAGCATCAATCATCTCAGCCAAGCCATAGAACTCGCCTTCCCGTTGTGTTTTTTTATGTGCGAGGCATGAGGTCTTTGCATTCTCAAGCAGAGCACTGATGCGAACTGAACAGTTCCAGCACTTCTCCAAACGCCCAAGCCATGTCCAAGCCGATGGGCAAAGGACAGACCGTTCTGCACAGCTTTGTTGGGTAGACCTGTGGGTGCCCAGGGTATCTCACCAAGAAAAAGCCAGGAACCCACGGCCCCTGGATGAGTCCTGATAGAGTCCTTAGCTGCTTTAGCTTTGCATTGGATGTATCCCGATCTCCGAAATACAGCAAAGCACCAGCACCCATCTTGAGATGTCCTGTGCAGTGACCGCCTCATCAGGTGCAGACAATTTGGTCAGCACCAATGGCCACATCAGTCGCCACCAAGCAGGGAAGATCCGTTACATGGACTCGCGCCAGGTGCGAATGACTCAAAATTGCGGTTCCGGGCAGAGACTCTGTGGGTGACTTTTTTCATGGGCGGAGACAAACATGTTATGGAATCTTTCAATCAAACTCCCTCTTTGACAAAAGATTGAGTAAATTTTAGGATATAGGGACCCTTGATATCTGACATGTCTTTTTGGCGTGAAAGAGGGACTAGGGAAGTTGAGAGAGATTTACTGTATGTTATAATGTCTATTATTATTGCTATTATATGTTATATGATTAGTTGTTTTGCTTGATAACCTGTTGTCTTTGTTAGCGGTGTTTGTGCAGTCCGCACCGAATCCAGCCATCAAATGAGCTGAATTCTGCATGAAGTCTAGAGGATGAGTATCTCCAGCAGCTGCCTTTCAGAAACCGTATTATTTGATAGGTACAAGATGGTACAAGCTCCTTTTCTCCGTGTTCAATTCAATGCTTTTTCTCCCCCCGAAACTACTGTCCAAACTATTTGCAACTGCCATGGTATCGCGAAGACCTCTTTCATCCCGAGCAAACAGGACGAGCAGGAACGGGAAATCACGATGAAGTCCAGCTCCATCGCACTCCGCTGGCTGAGCCCCAAGAACGAAGCCTTCCTGGTGACTGGGCCGGTCGCCGGTCGTGGAGGGACAGGATTCTTGACGTCTAGACTGGGGGACAGGAGATGGGACAATGCTTTGCTTGCCTGATCTTGCTTGCTACATTTTAGTTAGTTTGGGATGTCCAGATGTGGTTCTTCGTGACTATATAACCTTTGCATGTGTCCACGGACCTACTGACGGAAATCATCGAGCACACAATAGCACACATTATATATCAGAATATTGATGAAGTGTTTTCAGTCAGGTCCGGCAAATGGAACATCTTCACCCCAGGGCTCCAAATGCCTCAGAAGGTATTTGGACCCTCCAAACCCACTCCAAACACCTTGTCAGAAGGTACTTGGGAGCCCTAAGGTCAGAAAACCCGGATCAATTCGAACGACATGTCTCATGTGTCCCTTTGTGACATCCGCTTCAGCGGATCCTGAAGCCAACCCCCAACCTCAACCTCCTTCCTTCACTCAATGGCGCCGGCAGGCGCCGGGCTCGTCGTCCACAGGTGAATCTCATCGACTCGCCGGGCCACGTGGACTTCACCTCCGAGGCCGGAGCACCGTCGAGCGGTGGAGGAGCACCGGTGCTTTTTTTGGGGGGGGAGAGGAAGGGTTGGAGCATGTTGGGTGGGTGGTCTAGAATAGAGAGTGATTCAGATTCTAGGTCGTGTTGTAGGTATATAAACGTTATACAATATATGATTGACAGTCTATATAATCGTTTATTTACACTTGGGATTTCATGGACTTTGATAGACTGACAAGTCAATCTAGTAGTGGGGGTTGGTGGTCACATGTGGTCACAAAAGGTTCTGGATTTATTTGCACAATGAGACGAGTGGCTTGTGAATGACATTGACCAAAAATGGCCAGAAAACAAAGCTTAATCGGTCAGTGAATTCTTTCATGGCCGCTCTGCCAAAACATGCAAGTGATGAGCGTGCATTGCCAGCTGCTGTGGGCATCCAGTATCTACGATCTCAAGCCCGCCTGAAAAGAATACAAGTGCTACTAGACCAGTGATAGTACTCTGGCAGAGGACTGCAGATTCGCAGGAATGCGTGCTTTTCCTCCACTGTGTTTTGGCAAAGTGGTATGAGATCAGCGGCTAAATGGTTAGGGCATTGTTCCTCTTGATTTGCAGCAAAAGGTCGTCATTGATTTGGATGGTTGCAGTGAGTGCTCCCTGGTCCGCTTTCTCATTCCTTTTGTGTCTCTTGTGCTGCGTGCTTTCTTTGTTTCCTTATTGTATTTCGTTGTGCAGTTTCGGACAGATGAACACTTGCGTACCCCCGAGTCCCGCCGTGCTTCAACCGCGTCCCGCCGCCCGGAGCTGTGAACGAAATGCTGCCGAGAGGTCTCGACGGCTGCGCGCTTGGCCGATGGCGCCTTGGTGGTGGTGGACTGCGTCAAGGGCGTCGAAGCGCAAACCAGGACCGTGCTCCGCCAGGCTGAGGGAGTGGAGCTCACAGCTCCTGGGGGGGGTGCGCCAGGCTGAGTTGGTTGGCGGTTTGCTGACTTGCAATTTGTATACAGTTGGTTAAGGCGGTTAAGGGATGTGCCTGAGTGTGGTGCAACGTGCCACCAACCTCACAAACGAACAACAGTTAGGAGGACGGCATCATTTTCCTGTTCCGTTGACTTGTTGCCATGCGCATGTGAGAAATGTGAATTCAGACAACGAGGAGGCAGATGACTTGCCTGCTGTGAGGGATGGCTTTGCCTAAACCCGACAGGATCCGACAGGGTGCGGCTGAAGAGTGACCACTGCATGACTGCTGCTTCCACCTGTCATCGGTCTTTGTGGGGTCATAGTATACAATATAGTATTAATAAATATATTACTAAAATACATTTACATCAATATACATACCATCATGCCGTTGAACTCGAATCCACTTCCATCAACTACGTGACTTTTTCCGGGCGGGTCCCCGGACGTCACCGCGATCGCCGTGACCCGGAGGCCTATCGCGATCGCGTGAAGTCCTGTCTCTTCTTGAACAAGGCACGAAATTGGGCAACCGAGGAAGGGACGTTTGGACTCATTTGGAAGTCGTGTTGGTGCCTGGTTTTGTCAGCTTTCCGTTCAGTCTTTTTTGTCAGGTGCTAGCAACACTCACCACTTGTGTTTGTGTTTTCCTCAGACCTCCATTGTAGCATCCTCTCACAGAATTGTGATTCAGAAATTGTTTTTTCTACTGGTAGTGGAATCGGAACCAAGTGTTTTTTTGGTTTCAAGTTAGTCATGTCGAGTCACGTCTTGAGTCATGAGTCGGAACGCGTTAGATACTGCGGATCTCTCGAGTAGAAACCAACGATCATGTTTTTTTTGTTGTTAACTCGACATGAATAGTTAACACCTCATTGTTGGACTGATCGGTGTTTTTTTCGAGTGACAGAATCACATCCATGCAGATGGTCACCCTACAGATGTTTCAAACCTGATTCAAGGGCGGAAATGGATGCAGTAACCAGAAACACCTGCCATAGGGTTGAAGAGAAGTGCACTGGAGTAATTACCGTTCTTGAGAATGCACGTGTCCACATGTAATCTTGTTTGAAAGACAGATAGCGGTTCCTGTTGAGTCAGCAATCATCAGCATATGTCTCGGCCCAAAAACGATGTTTCACAAACAGTCGTCACAAACTTCACTTCGTTTCATGTTGTGTCGACAAACCGTGCGCTGGCGGGGTGGCACGCCACCCCTGCTAGTCCAGGTGGATCGCCTGATCTACGAGCTCAAGCTCTCACCGATGGACATCCATTTGTGGCTTAAGCGAAACAGAGGATGGAATTGTGTTGGTTGGGTTTGTAGCTTCTTGTTACGTTCGTAGTAAGAGTGCTACTAGTAGTACGGCCAGGAGCCCCCGTTCGTAGCGTTTTGGCTCCTAGTAAGGCCAGGAGCCCTTGTGACGTTAGCGATGGCCTCCAACCTAACTACTTGCGATGACCTCCACCTAATAGCTTCTTGTTTTTGTTTGTCCAGAGGATGAATCAACGAACCCTATGGTGGGAGAGACTGAGACCATTTAATGGTTGTGAGAGGAGACATGGGGAGACCCTCATGACTCTGGGGAACGAAAGAACTATACAGTTGACTCAAACTCGTGCAAAAATATGATAATAGGCACCCAAAAGCGAGTTATTATGCTCATGAACCTTGAGGAACATCGCAAGAGACCAGGCCTACAAAGCGTACAGAGAAGGGGTGATCAAAAGATGTGAAGCCGAGAATTGTTAAAGAGTTCCAGGAACTACATACGCCGCCAGCGTTCTTCCAACAAAATAACTATAGATTGTTTACTCAGGTTGCACCTAATGTCCAATAGACTTCAACAGACTGACATGAACTTTTGCTTGAAGATCTCCCAAATGAACCGATCTGCGATCTCCCTGGAACAGCGCGATCGCCGCGTGGAGCGCCAGAGACTGAGGCGATTGCTGCGCATCGTGGAGCAGATCAACGCGGCCAACCAACAGCTCTTCTCCGAGGACGAAAATCCATGTCAGTGGAACCGGCCTCCTGAAACATGTGGCATGTCCAATGTCCAACTTATAATAGGTTTTGACATGGTTTGACTGAGGGATGACAAAAAGAAACCTTTTAGATAACATATGATAATCATATTGATACAGTAACACGTTTAAACTATAAAACTATATATTATAGTTGAGTTCCCCCCCACTGCATCTTTCATTGTTTACTCACTTTGTGGTGCCCACGATTGTGGTGCCCACGATAAGCAAAACCCTTGGTTGCACTATGATCCACTCCCTTTTTTCCAACATTCACATCCTTCAATGGTCACTACTCACTACACTGGCTATTTGTTGAGCTGTTCGCTGCTTTTTTCAAGTCTTCCGTCCAAACCCGCCATCCACCGTCCAGGAGGTCATGGCGGGTGCAGCCACTTCACGGCCACGCAAGGGCTCGGGAGAGGCCCTGGACGCCGTGGACCTGTCGGAGGAATTGGACTTCGACGACGAGGCGGGAACGGAACGGAGCGACGGAGCGACGTTTGGAGCCTGGGTGGGGAGTTCTGGGTGAAGGGACGATGATTGGGTGGGTGGGTGACAAGGCGTGTGTTTGAGTGTTCGTGTTGGTGACAAGGCTCAAGTTGAATATTTTTGGAGTTTGGAGTCTTGGTTGGTGTGGCGTGCACTTCATATCATTTCTTGGTTACTTTGTGATAATGTTCCTTTGTGAGCACGAGGTGGTGGAAGCGTTGGACCCTGGCTGTCGGTCCTGAGTCAACATAAAGGGTGTTGCAGGGATGTTCAGGGTAATTTGGACTGTTGCAACCGGAGTGCAACCTCACCAAAAGATGGTGACACATACATTGCCACACAAAAGTGTATCGACACTGATGATCGATCCCAAAAAACACATCAGTACACAAACCAGACCACAATTACTAGACCAATTTACTGAAACTGTCTCCAAAAAGACGCTTCCGCTTCCACCTGTCAATACGTGTCATGTTCTGACCGGTGTCTCCCAGGACCGCTGGCGCTACAGCCCAGAACTGGGCAATGTGGCCTTTGGCTCCGCGGTGCATGGCTGGGCCTTCCGCCTGGAGCGCGGGAGTGCGCGACGTTTGGACGGCTGAGCGCGGGGTGGGGATGCTCAACGGGTATGGGTGAAACAATTACTGTTACTGTAGGGGAACATTGTTTTAAAAAGCACCATCTTGGGATCCCTAGGGTAAATGAAGACATGCATGAGATATGTATGATGATGATGGGTATGATGGGTATGGCTCAGCGTTCAAGGAGTCGAGTGTTCTTGATTTCATAGATGCTTCTTTTTCCTTGAGCAGTAGGCTTTGGGAGGCTTCAGATGCTTGACCTATGACCTATAGTCACTGGACAATCGGAACCAGAGGGTACTAGTAGGCGACAGTTAGAGAATATAGAACATCTTCGGAAGCATTACTGGACCTACTGGCAATCAGAATCACCCTGAAGAGTTCTGTCCAAGTTCTGCCTCACTCGCGTTCACCACGGGTGCGGCCCTCATCTAAGCTTATGAGGGCGGGCCGACTGGCCATCGTGGCCAGATCCATGAAGCTTTCAAGTATTTGAAAACGAATATGGATAATGGATAGTTTATTTAGTTTCACAATGCTCGAGACATCTTGAGACATGTTGTATCATGTCGATTAAATGTTCAGTAATTATGGTGGAGATGGGCCCCACTCCATGACATCGTAGCAGGACACCTTTGCCACCATGTGGGCGGAAAAGCTGAAAGCGTTCCTCGAAAGCATGGGAGACGATGGCGGGATAAAACCCTTCCCGGCGTTCCATTGAAGGTTTGCGTTCCATTGGAGAGTCCTTTCTGGAAAGATAAACACTGGTTCATTCCGGGCACTCCCTTGACATTCACTCCACATACTGCATGCATGCATCATGCATCCCAAATCGGGCAGACACCACAAGGGAACTTGCACATCAGCAGAAGCTTCTTGCACTTCAAAGGGGATTAGCTTTGTAGAAGAAACTTGTTCTTCATCTTGCCTTGGTGTTCGACAGCCAGATCTTAGCAAGAGGTTGCACTCGACGCAGTTCGAGAAAAAATATCCAATTTGGACCAAGCTTTTGGCCACCGACATGCTGGCGACGTGGTGAATCCTCCTCCCACGTGTGGGCGAAGAGAAAGGGCGAGACCTGCAACGGGTGAGACGTGTCAGTTCTGGCTCTGGACCCTTTGGACCCAGCTCGGTCGATTTGGGTCCTCCTCCGTTCGGAGCCAACGTGAGCAGTTCTTGGCATTCGGTGCCTCCCATTTTGGGGGTCGTCGGCATCGAATTTCGGTTGTGGTACTTAACCTCACTGCCCTCAAAGTCGAGGCTCCAACACACAAGCACCATTAGCCCTATATATAAACTCTCTTGTGTATTGTATTCTATGTAATTACTATTCGTATCTATTCATCATGTGTTTCCAATTTCTATCTATTTATTTTGATCTCCTGGATCTTCCAACGACCAAAAAATTCTGGTAGTTTTGGTTATTGACCCGGTTTTCCGCACAAGCGCCCGCAAATCAGCGCAACCGACAAAACGACCGCAAATTAGCACAAAACGCGCGCAAAAAACCAGCAAATGACCACAAAAATCCGCAAAATAACGCAAAACAAACAAAACGACCAAAACGACCATAAAGCCAAAACAACCATAATTTTTTGGTAGTTGGAAGGTCCAGGCTATATATTTTGTATAACCATGTTTAAGGTGTCTTCATCTCTTTGGTCCAAGCAAGCTCAGCATCGCCTTCCGCGTCCGTTCCACGGTTCCGTGTTCCACCGCGTCCGTTCTCCAGGAAGCCGCAGAACTTGCAGCGGGTCCTGTGGGGCGACTGGACCTACCGACCCAAGGAGAGGGTCTCCCGGCCAACGAACGGAACCGGCCAACGGGCCACGGAAGGACGGAGCGAAAGGACGGGGGCTCACGGCCGGCTCCTGGCCTTAGGACCGAACGGAGCTCTAGGTTCGCTAACGGAGCAAGAAACGTTTCAATTTGAGGGGACCTCTGACGTAGGTGTCCAAGGAGGGGACCTCTGGACATCATGTACGTTCCATGGAAACCGTGCCACTATCTATTTGGGGACCACGACTATGATGATGAAGATTTGCATGGGAGTTCAATGGATTGAACAGAATTGGGATTTGAGGATTTGCCATGAACATCCTGAACTGGGAGTTGCGGATTGTTCATGCGTTGTTTTCACGTGAATTGTTCAGTTCGATGGTGGAGAGTTGGGCCGGAAGAGAGGGACGGACAGAATTGAGGGAGATTGGATGGTGATGCTGATTTAGAAGGGATTCGATCACTCCTTGTCATGCAGGATTGATTGCATGGAAACTGATTGGAGGGAGGCGGTGCTTCAGCTAGTTTCACAATTTCGATTTGATATATTCTCTCTGAGGGCATTTGGATGGATTGAGATCTATCATGATAAATCGGATCTATACATTCTGAGGTTCCGCCACCTTCCACATCCAGTCACCCCAACTTTCGGCCTTCAAACTCGTCCCGAACTTGTTCGCTCCGGCGAGGACAAGAAGGCAGTGATGAGATCCTCGGACTCCCAGGCAAACACCATGTTTGCCAGCTTGGTGATGCTGCTCGGCCTCTCAAGGGTTCCCCTGAGACGTCACGTTTCGGCAGGATGAAACGGTTTCAAAACGAGAGGGCATTTGGGTGGGTGGCAGAGGGTTCGGACCATCCAAGGTTGGAAAACTAATTTGCTTTCATGCTTTCAGAAGATTTGTGTTCAAGACTGACTACATGACATTTGTTCCAACCAAGCAAGGTGCATGGTTTCATTATATATGTCCAATTGCTGTTCCTATTCCGTGGAAGAAGAACTCCAGCAGCGCCTCAAAGTCATCCCACTATCCGTGAACCTCCTCATCATCTCCTCATCTTGGGAGGAAGACCTGGAGGCCAGACTTCCCGACATGACTCATGACCCAATTGTGCCATGCGACCTCGGGTTACCCGAGGAAGCCCATCTGCGACTTCTACGACTCGGTCTACATGGACCTGGACCGTGAGCGCTTGAAGGGCATGAGGAAGCAAATCAAGGCGGGTGCGACAGGAGCGGTTCGGAACCTCTTGGAGGACATGAACGTGTTTGAGGACAGGAAAAAAAAGTTGTGCTCAAGACACAGGATTGTAGATTTAGCACACGATGGTTCTGCAGGGATGTCAAAGTACGCTACAACATGTTTCATATTGTTGTATTATGTCTCTTAAGAATTTGTTTTTACAGTGAAGCCAAGCTGGGCGGAGAAAAGGTCGGAACTGTCATTTGTTTCATCATGTTTCGGCCTTTGTGTCTTTTATGCATTGAAGGATGTTAAAAGCCACTAGTAGCGATGGCCTCCAACCTACTTGCGATGGCCTCCACCTGGTTGTTTGGGACGGAAGAGGCCAAAAACATCCAAAAAACTACAAAAGAACGGGCATCACTTGGAACATGCTTGGACGCTTGAAAACCGGGCCCCTCATTCAAAACCGTTTCGATGGCTTCCGGTGTCCGGTGCATGGAGGCCTGGGACGATGTGGACTTTGACAAGCTCACAGCAGGCAGAGTGGTCAACGGATGAAGTGTGGGAGGGAGAGAGGACATCTTGAAGCCATCGAACCATGGGAGAAAGGAGCCTGAAAGGCAAGAAGCTTGATATTTGATATTTGGTCAATGTGAGAACACCACCAACAAAAACATATATTGTAATATATCGCAATCGCTCACTTGCAGCAAGTTCACTGGATTCCAGTGCTAGTTCCTAACTCAGATGCTGGTGGTGGACCAGTATGTACCAGTTGTCCGATATCGAACAATGTGAACGTGCTGTTCTTAGGTCCAGATCAGCTCCATAGTGGGATCAGGCAAGTGAAATCAGATGCCCTCCCTGAAACAAGGATAAAAGTGGATGGCATGGCCCCTTGCCAACATCTTTCGACCAACATTTTGTCCACTTCCATGTGTTTTGGAGCAAGGGCGGTTTGAATTCCTATCCCGGCGTCCCCAATCCTTTTTCAGCGGGCTGCGACTCCGGCGCCAGGCCCGGCGGCCACCAAGGAGTTGGCGTCGAGGCAGGGACCAGGTCGTCGGAATGTCCGATGGCGCCGAACGCGCGGTGGCGAGTGGCGCAGGTGGCTACCCTTCGCGGACAGTGTCCTGCGCATGGTCAGTGAGCTGCCAAGTCCTGCTGAAGCAGCACCACAGCGGCTGCCAGTGCTGTGCCCCAAGTGGTGCCCTGGAAAGAACCAGGAGGGGCTGCCCCATGCGGCCCTCGTGGGTAGGGAAGGAGTTACAGTTTCTCTTTCATCTTCCTATGATACAATCCACCCCACGTTGCAAGCGCCACAGAAACCCTCCACGTTGCCTCGTTTGACACAAGCCACCTCTATGCCCGCCGTGTGCGTCCACACACGCCGCCCAGCCGAGGTTTACGCCCAAGGCGATCGACCACCCCGTGGCCCGGGACCTGCAGTTGAGTGACCCCAATGGCAGCTGCGTGGTTTACTTGGCGAAGTTCCTGGCCGCGGATCTGGAGAACCTGGTGCTCACAGGAACACGTTGGACAGCGCGGATGTCTGTGTTTGGGATATGTTTAAATATGTTTATAAATGTTTATAAACATATACACGAGTCTTGATGAGTCTTGGAGTTTCTGGCTGCCAGGTGGCTTGGGTGAGTTGTATGTTGTTGTGTTCTTTTGATGAGACCTTTAGGTCCCTGAGTTTCTCAAACGATCCGATCGAGTGTCGGGTGCAACAAGGGAAGAACCGACACCCGACACCCGAATTCGGGTGGATCATGATGCAGTCTATGTCGGTCCCTCGAGCATTCGTGTTGTTCAGCATCCAACCAGCGTCGACGTCTCAAGTTTCCTCGAGCATCAGGGGGCCGACGATTTCAGTCCCCGACACCCCGTGGGACATCAGGCGACTGCCATTGGTGCGCACCAGGACCCAGAGACCCAGAAGGGGGTGGTTCATGGGGGTTGTTCATGCCCCCCTTTATAACCACTCTATCTTACTATAGTCACACCGAATCCAGGAGTCAGCTGGGCCGCCCCAGACGGTAGCTGGGCCGCCCCAGACGGTGGTAGGAGTCAGACTGCTTCGGTCAGGAGATACGCCCAAAGGTGAACAGGACGTGGACTTCGTGGGGATTTGCCGAGTCTTTTCAGGACGGGAATGGGATGGTGGAGAGCGTGAGCTTGGACCCCTGGGTGGCACTGCAGATTTGGCCGAAAGAACTTACTTCTTGAGGAACAGATTGGCAAAGTCATGCACAAGATGCCAATTAGGATCAATTCGGTGCACCAAGGCCTAGACGGGGTGCTATTCAATGATGGTTAGTCGTTAGTATATTAACCTCTTGTCTTGTGCCCTTACAACTCCATCGGGGGAAGCAGCAAAGCTGCTTGAGACCAATCCAGCATCTCAGATGTCCAACGCCAGGCACCCTTCGACCTGGGCTCGAAGTCCACATGCAGCCCGACCCTTCACGGGTTCTGCGGGTGCAGCGGATCTTCCTGTTGATGGGCCGCTTCCTGCAAGAGGCCCCATTGTGCTGGGGTGGGGGAGGGTGTGAGATGGTGCAGCCCAATATGGATGTGGCAACCAACAATCATTCTGACTTAAAGGTGCGACCATGCAAAAACCCATGGAAAGACTTGGAGGTCGACCATGAAAGACCTCTAGTTACCAACCCAATCCAACCCACTTCACCCCCCCCACCCATCGTCCCAAGACCCCCCACCCACCGCGCCCGTGCACCAGGTCACCGAAGCGCCCAGCGGCTCCATCGTGGCGATCGCCTTGGAGGGCGAGTCCTCCGAGCTGGGTGCTTTGGTCGGTTGGGTCGGTGGCCTGGGAGTGGAGATGAGAGATGCGAGAGATGGACTGGATTTGACCTGGTTTTACTGTAGGTGGTTTGAGTTCCTGGTGATCGGGGGGGTTGGGTGGGACCATCTACTACATCTATGAGTTGAAGGAGATATTCGAAGAGAGAGAGAGAGAGAGCGAGAGTAGAGTCTTTGCATTCTTCATTCACTGAGGTTGAAATGGGCTGAGCGTGTTGAAATGGGTCTTCTACATCCCCTTGGATTTAGGGTCGTCCCCAGTAAGGGACGGATGATCTAGAATCTAGCGTGCCTAACGGGGGGTTAAGACACTACGGCTTTCTTTGTTTGATCCACACCCTTTTGATGATGAGACAATTTAACGCCATCACTCGCATATGTTGTCATCATAAGATAAATGAAGACCTTTCTTCTGTACGTTTACAGAAAAGGTAAATACGTGCTCTGGACTTTGCAATCACGTCATTTTTCTAACGGGGGCATGCGGCATGATGCTTTTGGCATCTTTTGGCCACGTACACCAAGCACGAGAGTCATGGTCACAGGTGTCACAGCAACGACCAATGAGCAAATGTACGCAGTTGAATTGACATGGACCAGCACAAAGAATCTTTGCATGCTTTTCCCGCCTTCAAAGAGTTTTACTTGATTGTACTCTCGTGTACTATTATTGTCTATTGTTGTTTTCTGGAAATATCAGTCCTGAAAGAACCTGCAACACCTAGTTTTGAACCCATTGGTCAGGATGTCACTGAGGACAAAGTACTTGCTTGTTGTGCATATAGCATGTTCCAACTCGGCTGTGAAGCTGGAGGTGTTGAACGGTGCCTGACGCTCTGTGAAGACTCTGATGGTCCTTCCTTCGAAACGCCTTACAGCAATCAGGCGTGCATTGGGTGTGTTGGTACGGTCCTGCTCAATCACGTGCCACCCTTCCATTCAAACAAATGGCACTCATTTGTCCAACTCCCAGTTTTGCTTTTGTTTTTTGATGTTTAAAGTTTAAACCCATGCCACCTTTCCTGCCAGCTGTGCATCCGCGTGTTGATCCGCGCGTCAACTGGCGTGACAGAGGCCTTCGCGATTGTGCGCGTGAGCATCGAGCCAGAGGATGTGGCAAACTTGAAGGCGCGAGCTACAAATCGGAAAACTCCCTAGCCCAATATAAAGGTTGTTCGACTGGTGAGCCTTTCCTTATGTAATTACAAGCTAAAGAAGGGTGTCTAGATACTATTCTCCAACAAACATGGGCATTGGGAACGATCGAGATATTTCATCCAAGGGTGTGGCATCCACCGTCCATGGGCTGGAGTGTTTACAGTGAGGATTTTGAGGAAACTCGCCGGATACCACGACCAGGTTTCCTCTACCACGACCAGGTTACCTCAACCACGACAAGAAAAACTTTTGGTCCGCAAGATTTGAATCTGTCCAGCTAGGGGGACGCAGCAGGAGTTTGCACCTTCCATCAAGAGAAACAGGAATCAGGTCAGGTGAGCCTGCACACCTGTTCTGGGGTCCATGGGTAATCCATATAGACAAATGAGCAGCTTGCCGATACTTCAAAGATCCAATTTCTTGATGTCCATGTTTCAACATTCTCAAAATTATCAAACGATTACAAATTTAAAAGGTATTCACTGAAAAGGGATTCACTAAAATCGATAATTATGGATTCACCCAACAATAAGTATACAAATTGAATCAAATTGACAATTTTGTATATTAAAAACATAATAAAGATATGCATATATATCAAATTTCATGGGCCTGTCACTTGAAAAGAGTCACGGCCTTCAGGCCCTGGAGCGTGGACTCCGATTGCTGCACCGTGCAGACCCCTCGGTGAGCGTGGAGGTCGGTTTCGTCGTCGGTGGAGCGGTGGAAAGGCGATTTGGTTCTGTTCATTCCCTAGGGCTCCTGGCCCACCTCCGTTTCGAAGATGGTTGGGGTGGATGCCAGGGGGATCTAACCACCGAACGTGAGGAGATGGGCCAGGAGCCCTAGGGATTGAATGTTGAGTTATCTTGGTTAGCTTAGTTTCATGATTGGTCATAAGTGGTTCATCTAGAGTTAGCTTCAGCCGGTGGTCACGAGTGGTTCAGCTAGGAGTTGATGGGTGGACCTAGTAATTGAGTCAAATCGATTGACGTTCTGTTTTTGTGGCTATAGGGCCTGTTTGTTCCTGAAGGCACGACGCACCACCTGCAACTGTTGGTGTGTTTGTTTGGTTCGTGAACTGTTTCCTAGCTGTTCTCCCAATCAAACAAGGCGACGCGCCAATGAATGTTGCTAAAATGCAAGCAATTCCAACTCAACTGAACTCGTGATTGATAGACCTCATGTGGAAGGTCAAGCTCCTCAAGTTCTGAGGTGCCACTCTTTCAGGCCACTTCTAATTAGTTTGCTGGTAATTTTATATTTTTTTTAATCTATTTGTAGACTCAGTAGCCTTTTTTGTTTGAAATCCTTTTATGTTCACTGAACACCATTAAAAACCTTTCACGCACACATCAATGAATCTCATTTCAGTTTCATGAGATTGGGAAGACATGAGGATTGAATTCCACAAGGAAACCCTTGAGGTTCGATGAGATGAGGGATGCCATGAGGGTAGGATTCCATGAGAATTAACGCTTGTCCTACTAGTCCAAGGGGGTTTCGTGAGGTGGATTTACTACAATTAGCTCTGCCAAGACCTTGTTCAACGAGTGGCTCCATCTTGGTCCGCATGGAGTATCAGCGATCTCAAAAACACAATTAATTGAAGGACACACACATGACTAACATGTACGAGTGTCCTTGTGGTCCCGGGTGTAGCAGGGTGGTCCATGATAAATCTGCAGATCATCAACTGACTGGTGCTTCGGAAGGAATCAGGGAATGGAGCCTAAGGAATCTCTATTTGCAGGTGCCATTCCCTCATTCCTTGCTTTTCGCACCAGTCAGACAGTCGACAGCAGACCATGAAAACCTCGACAGACCGGTCTCGACTTTCAGGCCATGGTCACCGGGGAGAACGTGCTGGGCTGTTGCGGCGATGAGCATTTGAAGCGATGCCTCAACGACTTGGAGGTTCGGCCGGTGACACCACGGGTACCCCCGGTACTGGTTCAGCCAGCCAAAAACCAACATGGACAAGGCCAATAGACGTTTCAAAGAACCTCCTGAAATCCTCCTTGAACAAGCGTTTCTAGTCTCTTGCCCAGTCAGGCTGCGGTTTTTCCTATGTTGATTCTTCGGAAGGTCGCCTGCAGCAAACCAATTTGGGCCAGTCTGTCCAGGACAGAACCTCGGGCACAATGGAGACCTTACACCCCTTCAAACTCTCATCTGTCGACGATTCGATTCGTGAAAACAAATAAACAATAAGAAAACGATCGAGAAAAGGAAAAGACCACTAGTGATGTTATACACCATCCAAAGGAGACGTCGCCCGGGGTGCTTTTGTCTTGGGATCCGACTGGCGGAGCCTGGCATCGGACATGTCGCGACACATGGTTCGTGTCCAAACACCACCTGTTGGAAGGTCCTGGTACGTTACGTAGTCGTACGTTCGGAAGCTGGAAGCTGAAGCAGCAGGGGGAAGGAAGGTATTTTAGACCCGAACAGCATGGGATCGATCGAAGGTCCACATGTCTTAACTTCTGGATGTTCAGCCACCTACAGATGTCCACGACCTCCATTGGAAAAGGAAACGGGCACCCGGAACGAACAAGAAGGTGACCATAGTAATGTATGCTCTGTTGTTTCATAGGATTCCCCCGTTGAAAGGGGACATGTTTTTTGTTTTATCAACCGTCTAAATCAAGTGCATTCAAGTGCTTCATTGCTGTCAGAAGCTCTACGCCCGGAACATCAAGCTCTTGGTGACGCCTCCCCTGGTCGCCGTGCGAGAGTCCTTTGCAAAGAGTGTGGAGCGGCCTGAGTTCAAGGCGTGTATCACTATTTTTGAGAAAGACATTTAATGGCATTTACTAAGCGTCATCATCCACTGTTGCAGGGAGTGGGATATATAATATCCAAGATTGAGTCATGAAGATGGGGTCGAGATACTGGACATCCTCTAAGCGCTTATACTGCAGTGTTGAATGCTTCATCATGCTGCAGGTATTGGTTTAAGACAGGTTCAGGGATTTAAGACCAACTTGGGCATCAACTCGAAGCTCACTCAACTCGCCATTGGGCGCCCTTCAACTCGCCGAATGGTTCCTTCAGCCACTTCTGACCCGTAGCCCTTCATGTTTGCCGCTCAAGAGGAGCTGTGCCTTCGCTGTGCCTTCCATATTTGCCTTGTATCTATTGGTATCTATTGGTTGGTTGATCAATAGAGGGGAGAGACTTCCCGAAACGTATTTGCCATTGACCCCAAATTCAGGTGGGCCCCTTCCGCTGTTTCGTCCGCCGACCGGCAGGTGGCCTCCCTCTTCTTGCCCATTTGGATGTCCCACCTCCACGACGCCTCCACGGAGGCACCTCAAGCGGTTCCTGCTGGTACCAGATGGTGGGTTTTCCGGCAGGGTAGGATATCAACATAGGGAGACCTCCCAGGTGTCCCGACCACCTAGAAGAAGGGACCTTATACACCAGTCTACCCAGCCAGGGCAGACTCCCTATTTTCAATACAGTTTTTCCACCATTCATCATAGGGAAGACCCATCCATTATTCCACCATTCCGCCCTATGGGCAGATGACAGATGTGTCTCCACATCATGACATCCACCATTCCATTCATGACATCCACCATTCCATTCATGCATGAATCCACCACTCCATTCCATTCATTGATGGACATCCACCCTTCCACCTCCTGAGGCCGGCTCGATGATGTCCATCCCTTCGGACGACGACACGGTGACCTCCGACGCCGGTCCCGCCGCGACGCTCACCGAGTGGCTCGGTGACGCGAACGTGTGGACTGCGGATGGAAAGAACATGAAAGAATAAGTCCCAACAATCACCGTGTTAGATGTTTTTGTTCCATCACGACTCGTGGAGCACGACTCGTGGAGCAGCGGACACTCAAGACGCTCCAAGAAGGCATCATGTCTGTATGGAGCTGCATCACAACCAAGAAGGAGCCAAGCGAGAGTGGCGAACGAAGCTCAATCACTTGAGGATCTTGAGGATTGTAGAAAACGAATCGCTAGTACTCAGTACCGTACCGGATTTGTTTGAGGCTTTCAAGGGGCAGGAATGATGCGGAATCAAAGCGTGCCATGGACTCTTGAAAGACACAATTCCTGTAGACATGGGGTGTGATCCACTTCAATGTTTGTTGGCAGGATGTTGGACAACCGACTTCAAATGTAGCAATTGCTGAGATTGACTGCAGAAGACTTGAATTGAAAGTCTTTTTGCAGATACTCAAAGACCAAAGGCTATCTATACATTTTGATACATCAATCTTGCAACTCATGGCCCTCTTTCAGGCACAGACTTCGTTTGTCAGCTCCAGCAAGACAATAAAACCTTCTCAGAGCATGTGTCCATGCACTACTAACTGGCAGGATAAGCCAAAGTAGATGTCCCAGTTAGTCTAACTGGGTCATCTACTTTGACTTATCATTTTCCCCTCCAACCAGATCCGTACAGACTAGAGATAACTAAAGCACCGCTACAGACAGCACCATCTCTTCACCACCACCAGATTTCCTTCCGCCGTTCACCACCGCGGTCAACCACCCAGGCGATGGAACATGTCCCAGAGCGGAGTCATGAGCGTCTGGACCGCCAACCGCAAGGCCTGCGTTCGGCTGAGTGCCATTGCTCTCCCCGACGAGGCCGGTCGCAGGCTGTCGATGCGGGTTGTTGGGTGGACGTGAGGCGCCGACACGCGCGACTACGGTTGGATCCTTCTATCCGTCTTCTATCCGTCCTGGGTGGGCATAGAAGAGATCGTTAAAGGATTTGAAATGCATATCTCCAAGGCCCAAACTTGGGCCCTTTGGGTGACCAGATGGGTAGATCAAGACCTCTAGCTAGATGTAGCTAGTGTTCCGGGCGCGAGCCACCCAGACTCAGAGTGGACTCCCAAGTCCCGAGACGTTTCGTTTTGAGCGGAGAAAGGAGATCGATTTGGTGCGCGGAGGTCGCCCTGAACACCTCCAGTGACGAAGGTCCCATTGGTTTTTCTATTGGTGTTCTTCCGAACTCATCAGTCTGGTGGACCGGTGGTCGGAGATGTTTGGGGCGACTCCCAGGTCCTGGCCTGGATGGATGAGCATGCTGAAGCGCTGGAGAGTGTGGTGCATCGACAGCAAGTTCCTTGGCGAGCAAGGTCGGAGCGCTCGAGTTCCGAGAATGAGTCGTGAAGAAGTACTTGTAGGGGAGTTAGGGGCACAGTGGGGCTGGGGCTGAGAACAAAAGAATGACGCTGGGGCCTAAACTCCTTGGAAAACAGGGCCTTCTATCAGGGCCTTCCTTCTAGTAAAGGGGATGTCCTGTTTATGGCTTTGGCTTTCACTGATTTTCACCTTGGATGTTCTCATGATTTTTGCTCAGCCGCAATGGTAAATAATGTTTGGACTAGACTTCATCGGTTCATGAATATTCACCCACAGGTGCAGTAGGGACTATGTCAGGGAGCGATAGGGAGAACCCAGAGACAGCGGATGTGCGGATGTGAGTTTATTATGTGCGGATTTAGGGCTGGTCCCCTGTTGAGGTCAAAACACTGACAACAGGAGATCCATCCCACCAGTTCAGGAGCAAACACGCAAATGACATGCTACGAATGTGTTGTTGTCATTGCATGCTAGAAAGGATGCTACCAAATCACACACACATATATATATATATATACCTGGACCATCCAAGGGGTGCCCAATGGAAGCCTATAGGTGGTGTGGGGTAGACCATTGGACACCCCTTGGATGGTCCTGGTATATATTAAGTGCTGCTACAAACAAGGCAAACAACATCAAACAACAGCTTCTTACGGGCATGTCTTTGAATCATCACACGATCTTCGTGATCCTTCGCATATCCTCATGAGTCAGGCTTCTGAGTGGCATATCTCCATGTCACACGTTGGACTCCAGAAACCACTCACAGGACTCGGACACCACGTGTCTCGAGCGCCTGCTTGCCTGGCTCTGCGCGCCAGCGCCAGCGCCAGCTTGCAGGCGTCCATTGAATTGGTGGGTAGCTCGGATGGCAGCTTGATGGGATGTTTAGCGGAAGTCGAGCAGCAGTTCAGGCGCGCGCCTGCGTGGCAAAGCGTGTGCCGATCCGGTGGGGGCGGAGAAATGATGCGCCATGATGTGTGCCGATCGTGCCGAGAGTTGGCACATGAGAGTGGAAGAATTGGATCACACCGGGCATTCCTCATGGATGTTTAGTGTGGGAAATGGTTGGGAGAGATTGTTTTGTTTCTTGCCTTGGAATGTTCATTTAGGATCAGGCAAGATACAGTAGATGATGAGTGATTATACGGTTGAACCCTGTCTCGCTTTATGCCACAGAATCCTTGTTCCACCATTTAAACGCAGCGGCTTTGCACCGGCCATTTTCCATCTTGACGATCCGAAAAAAACACGCTGTGGCGATTCTAACACGCTCGTGCCCAGTTGGACGCTATGCTGCCGGTCGTCGTCGTTTTCGCGCTGCGCAGGCAGTTGCAGGAGCAATCGGACCCAAGTTTCCAAGTGTGCAACGATGAGGAGATCAGCCTTTGTGGCATGAGCGTGGTGCCATGTCAGCGATGGGTGTTCGATGGCGTTTTGGGACTGGCTCAACTCTCCTGAAGATGGTTGATACAGATATCGAAAGCATGTCAGATAGGTGAAAATCCCACGGACACTTATATAAATGTTCCGTTCATGTTTGGACGTAATCCATTAAACTCCCCAGAAATCAGGTTCTCATTCCAGCTACATAATGCATGCTGATTCAATTGCACAGGCAGCTCTCCTCTGAATTGAGGTCCTCAAGCAGATCAAGATGTTAACCTTCTTTATTGATCCCTAGGGCTCCAGTTACCGTCTAAGAAGGTTTGAGGTGGGTTTAGAGGGTCCAAATACCTTCTGAGGCACTTGGAGCCGTAGGGGACGCCATTTCCAGGTGATTCCTCTCCCATTTGTTTGGATCTTGCTTCGCTCCAGAGAGACTCGAGGATCGTGGAAGCCGCACTCTCTTGCTGGATGGTAGTGGCTCTGGTTGGCGCCTGCGGGACGCGTATGACACTGCCTTCGGTCTGCTGAGAGCAGATGAAGGAGGACAGATCCGAGAAGAGCAGGTGTAGCGTCTTTTGCTCAAAGAAATTGGGGCAAAAGATATATATCTATGTTCAGATGTTGACCCTGGGTGCCAGCGTCCCAACATGTGTCCTCAGAATCCTGGCAGGTGGGACCTCTAGAGTCGGGTGACTAATGACTAATGAGTGTTGATGATTAATGCTCAAGAGTGCATCCTGGAATTGAAACTCTTGGGGTATTCAGGAATTAGGATGAATAAGGGATTCATGTAGATATTTGTGTTTTCACACGAAAGCCTGCCAAACGCGTTTGTTGTCAGACCCCAGTAGATTCAGTATTCTAGTACATGTATGCTGGAAGCTCTATATATATACTGTATATATATTGAATTTTGATCAATCTGTAGCTGTCCGATACTCTGTTCTAGAAGCTGATCCTGAGCTCAAGCTGATCTTGAAACCTGAAGTGTTCAGCCTGAAGGCCAGGTTCCTGCTCTAAACTGTATATTGAGCTATATATATACAATTAAACCTAGCACCGAGTCTATTTCTACTGGCAACTCGTATTTGCTGCGATTCTTCACCAGAGCTCCTGACCAATATGAGCAAAGTAGAGTTTATCTTAGATGGCCGGAGGAGTGCCACTCCGTTTCGCGGAGTGATCCGGTTTTGACCTCTGACTATCATGGAACTGGGGGCGGGGCCCGGGCCAAACATCATGAAAGATTGGTCGAGAGGAGGCCTAACAAACATAAAGGATCGGGGTGTTGCTCCACCGCCACCACCTGTGGTTTTTTGATGTGAAAAAGGCTGTTGCCAGCACTATACAAGGTTATGCTTTCACACACACCTGTGGTTCCAGCTGTGCTTTTGCAACATGGCATTGGTTCTCCCTTGCTTCTGGCATTTGGTGCATTTCCATCCTTCCCACCGCCTGCTGTATTGAGTATTTTAAGAGGATGAAACAGCCCGACTCGTGTCCCGACAGCAACCTCCAAGCGTCCCAGGTTTTTACCGGGCTTAAACATCCCAATGCGATTGGTGTTTCACATCCTTCTCGATGAGTTTCTTGTTTCATTTGGAAGAAGATGTGAGGATCTTCACCGAAAATGCCACAGTACTAAGTACTAGGTCATGTTAACCAGGTCACCTCCACCAGGTCACGCACCGGGGCGGTCACCATGAAAAAACCGCCTCGACTCGTCTCGACTCAAGGAGTCCCTGAATGGATGCGGCCCCACCTCCTGGCGGGCTTTGGCCAAGCGTCCACCGCTGGCCCCCTCTGCGAGGAGAGCTCCGTGGAGCAAGGGGGCGCTCTTCCGTGGGTCGCGGTGGGCCAAAAGCGGGAAATGATCGCAGGTGGGTTTTGGTGTGCCGAGAATGAAGAAAATTGGATGTCTCTTTGAGGTTATTGCTTTCCACTTCCATGATGCTTTTGAGGGAGTGCACCCTCTGACGAACACATCATCATGGAAGTGTACCCTCTGATCCCAAAAGGAAGATGACTTTCCTGTACCAACGACTAGTAACAAGAAGCTATTAGGGGTTCCTGGCCTTACTACTAGGAGCATCCTTGCTATTCCACTATATCTTTTGGGCAGCTTTCCAGGGCCACTTCTCAGGAGCCCCTCCGCGGCGTGGCCTTCCTCGTCCACGGCGCCAGCGGCAGCTTCCGAGAGGATGAGGACCGAGCCCAAAAGGTGTGAAAAGTCCAAACTCCAAACTTCCTATATATATTTACCACCTATGGGTGTGAAAAGAAACCCAAACGTGTGTGTGATCCCAAGGTGTGTGGAAGGTCTTCCTATACATCTTAAACGCCAAACTGTTTCTCTTTGAGTCTCTTGGGACCTCTTGGGATCCTTTTTGTTCAGTTCCAGAAGAAGAAACCCCCAAAAAGACCACACGCTCGGTGCCCGGCTGGCCTGGTGGCGTCGGTGTCGCAAAGCAGGATGCTGCGGCTTTGGCTGCAAACCCTTTTGGACCAATGAGTGGGCAGGTCATGGTCGCCACCAAGGAGCGGTTCACCCGAGCGAGTGTGGTTGGTGGTTGTGAACGGAAGCAGGATGCGAGATTTGTGGTTGCAAGAGGGCCGAGGAGTAAGTTGAGATTTGGAACTCACCCAAAGATACCCAAAGTATATAGTTGAAAAGTAAAGTATCATGAGCAAAAGTAAGAGTAAGAGGAATAGGATGGAACAAGCATTCAAGAAGGAAGACTGATGTTTGACCCAAGAGGTTCTTTTTGCCTTGAACCTGCAGTCCGCAGTCGGCATATCAGTCCTGCAGAGCAGTGGAGGTCTTTGTGTCGTCCGCTCAGATAGCAATCGGGTCGGGACTTGTGCTATGAAGTTGATCAATGAATTGGAGTCTTGTAGGCTGATTTAGCTGGAATGCCCTTCCTTGAAACAAGGCCTTGGACAAACCCAGCTTTCTTTCGCCAAAGCACTCACCATATCATAGAAGCATGTTTACACATTGTATGAGCCCTTTTAGTATCTTGTGGTAATTATATTCCTGCATGCTTTTTGAAAGTGAAGATCCCATCCAGCTAGTCCCCATTCTTGATCATTCAAAGACACTTCTGATTGACCTGGGGATCCTGACTGCCTTTGGGTCACCAACTCTCAAAAGATCCAGCAGTTGTAGGAATATTGGGACATGAAATGAGAGCTTACCTTCTTCCTCCAAATAGAAGCACATCAACATTAACATGTTGTAACTAACCCCAGGAAGAAAACCCTTGTGACGAGCTGGAGTCCCGCAGTTTTGACAGGACGCCTGCCGTTATTGCCTGCTACGGAAGGGCTTCTCGCGGATTTCAGAGGATCGGACGTCTTCTTCGGTTGGAGACCGACCGGTGTCGTCCGATGGGGCCCGCCGACAGGGGAGGTGGAATGGTGGATGTCATGATGTGGATGTGTATTGAAAACGGGGAGACCCATCTGCCCAACATTGCCCAAGGTCCTTTTTTGATGTGTTTTTTCTCCCAGAAGCGAAGAAAAACCAGTGTCCGGACGCCTGGGAGGTCTCCGTATTTTAAAGCACACCCACATGTTGCTGCCTATCGAAAAAGTGATTTTCATTTTTTTTTAAACGTGCCAGAGCAGAGTTGTTCCCCACCCGTAGGACTGTGGGGTTGTTAGATTTTTAGAACTTTGGACTTCAGTACGCCCGGTAGCCCAACTTAGCTCTTCCACAGCACACTGGCCAAAGTGA